TGCTGCGGGGTAAACTGTGGCATCGCCATTTCACACTGTACCGTCTGTACGGGGTATTATACGAGAGAATGCGTTTCAGCACAAACAACTCGAAAGCACAAATTCCATGGAAATTCCACGAAACTCTCATGGGAGTAAAAATGAATTCATAATGAAGCAAGAACAGCACCAACAGAGAAAAATGTAACGTTTTCATAGGCTTTTCGGAGGATTTGACCTCGGTAAAATCCTGCCGAAATTTTATCATAAATGCAACAAATAGCGAACTTTTCATACATGAACTCGAATAAAGAATACCGTTTGTCATTTCCGAGCGCAAGCCACTTTTAGGAGAGCAAACGTTGACCACCCCCCTGGATAGCAAAATTTACTATTTTCAATTTTTTTTATATTTTCCATAATTCAAGCAATCCATACATATAAAAAATTACATTTCATGAACAGAATTGTGGAATTGAGAGCAATTTCAAAATTGTCTTACTTTTTTTGACACACCCTGTAGTACGATCGTACTTGTTTTAAAAAATTCAATTATTTTGGGGGTTAGGCGAAAGCTATTCAAGCCATAGACAGTGACGCCGCCATACAGGAATTGTTTTTTGGGGGTGGAGGAACTTAATCATTTTGTGAAGTCACAAATTTTTTGTCAATTTTTGGTCTCCGAAACGGCATTGTGGAGGCACTTGAAGAAAAATGTAATGGTCTTAATAAATCATCTTTTAACAGAATGTGATGTAATCGCTAATATTTAGCAATATCACTCAGACCCAATGCGTTTACAATTCACCGGATTTGAACGAATCTAAAACCACCAGCATGAGCTCCACCTTTGAATTTACTATATGAGTAAATTCTTAAACACGTCCGAATTTATCATTATGATAAATTCGCGGCAAATTTTGATTTTATCATAATAATAAATTCGCGGCACCTAACACTAACCCTAAACCCAACCCCCAACCCCCAACCCCCAACCCCCAACCACTAACCACTAATTTTTTTAACTCCACCACCCCTGCGCGACCAGCCTCCCTTTTAGTGCCATTACATTTATAACAAGAAACCTTGTGCAATGCTTGTGGTTTTATGATTAACTCTATTGATAAATTCAAAATGTGCCGCGAATTTATCATAATGATAAATTCGGACGTGTTTAAGAATTTACTGATATAGTAAATTCAAAGGTGGAGCTCATGTTGAAAACGTAACTACACTCTGAAAAATGTTCGGGGAGCGCATTTATCTTTATCATCGCCCTCTTTATCTTTTGTCCTCGACAGAAATACGTCTTCTTATTGATTGAGCAAAACGTCTAAGGAATATCATAAAGACTTTTATGAAAATACGTGAAGAACATGTAGTTATGCGTAGATAAAACATGCGTGCCAGCTATATGCACGAGGGTTGGCAGGTCTGCACCAACTAAAATATGCATGGTATATATGAAGCTGAACGACATTTGACTTGAATTTTGTGGGGTAAATTCGTACAAGCCTGATAAGCCTATATCTCTATATAAAATTGGATTGTTGGAATATTATTTTTTTTAAATATCAATTAGGGACGGGTCATTATTTATAGTGGGGGGTGGCACCGAAGAGGAATGTTTTGCGTGTCAAAAGTTTTGCTGACCCAACCATTAAAAAGACAAAAATTTGATTACCCAACCTCAAATATCAATTAAAAAATAACTACCCACCCCTGGCCAAAAACTTAACAAAAGGATACCATTCAGTTGTCATACATGTCCTTTATCACTTCAGTGACATGAGTTTGATAACGGCTTGTGAAATTTTCTGCAGTCTAAAGTTTCATATTGTCTGCACATTTCTTTGGAAACACAATTTCTTTTGTCAAAATGATCAATTTAGTGACTCTGATTGATTCTCATATTGTATTGACAAATGACTGTTGACATTGCTTTTCAGTTTTCAGTCTCCAATATTTCAGGGTCATGCTTTGGAAATGACAATAAATCTTTATTACCCAACCCTTGAGTTGTTTTGTTTTTCATTTACCCAACCTTTTACTCACTCAAAATTTTGTTTACCCAACCCTTTTCTCTTCGGTGCCACCCCCCGCCATAAATAATGACCACTCCCTTAAATATCTACACTGACAGTGCTTTCAAAAAAAGTATTTGGAAACGTTAATATATTTCTGAGGAAGATTCAATAATGATCAAATACCTGATCCTTCGTCTGACAGATTCAAATGCTGGTTTAAACTCAGTAAACTTAATAAACCATCAAATAAATAAATTCCATCCAATGATCCCGAGATCCAATGTCCGCACATTATATATCCTCTGCAATTTTCGCATCTCAGGTATTCTGCATGTGTAGTATAGCCAAATGTATAAACAAATAAATCGGTCGAGTATTCGAGCGATCATATTTTCAATTAATCAAACAGCCAATTAAGCAACCAAATATTCAACAACAATATTAACTTTGTTTAGGAGGAAAACGTGCCTGATACAGCAGCTAACGATGATACAGCAGCTAATACTGCAGCTGACGATGGTACAGCAGCTGACGATGGTACAGCAGCTGACGATGGTACTGCAGCTGACGATGGTACCACTATCAGTTCCCTTGGGCCTGCACGCCGGCTATTAGCGATAATGCAAAGCTCGCTTCCCTTGTGGTCGTTTGAGCACTCTGGCCCCATTACGCTCTGCGCATCTCTGGATGCGTTGAGTTACCGTGTTGTACCACATTGTACCGCAAAGCCCCTCGGAAAATATCATCACTTCGTGTAATATTTCGCCGAATCCCCCTCGCTCCAAGTCTATAAATGATAATTATACAACGTTAACAGCTTGAAAATTCCACTCAACTATGTAATCTTTGTTAGTCTTGTTTAATTAAGGTAAATGCTTTTCCATTTAAAAATAAAGATAAAAGCCAATAAGCCATTTTCCACGCGAAGGCAACTTTTATACTTTATGTAGCGTGGCGCCATGTTTGAAGCAATCTGTGACTGTTACTTCTTTAAACTAAATTGCTTTAAACTGATTGGTTGATTTAATCATCATAATGTTTTTCCACCAATCAGATCAGTTTGTTACAGAATTTTACACTGTGCATGATTACAGAAAATTGCACTGTGATTACAAAAAATTGCACTGTGATTACAGAAAATTGCACTGTGATTACAGAAAATTGCACTGTGAGTTACCGGAAATTGCACTACTGTTTGGGATTAACTGCGCTGAAATCAACCAATCACAGTCGAGTAATATCTTTATGTATATTATTATGTTTGTTATTATGCAATTTAACTATATGCAGTCGATGTGTTCTGTTATGCAGTTCATCTGTTGTATTGTGCAGTTGATGCGCCTGCAATCGTCGACGCAAATATTTTTTCCGTAGACAGTCGGAGCGTATATAGGTAGGCAGGGACAGTGGAACGAGTTCTTTTTTCCATGGTGGGGGGGGGGGGTTAATTTAAGAGTTGGATACCGTGGCCTTCAGCTAAGTATATAAACATTACACGACAGGCCAAACATTGGTCAAACTGCTATGACAAAAGTAGCATAGGGAAATATTTGAAGTTAGGAAAGCTGAAATCTATAGGAGGACTCGGAGAGTATGCTCCTCCGAAAAATTTAAAATATTGAGGCTCGGAAACGCAATTTCTTGCATTTTCTGGCACCGAATTGAAGAATTTCGACAACAAAAAACGATGCAAAAAGGGGCTTCATAATTGGTTTTGGTCAGTTTTTACTCGGTAGGGCCTAAAATCGCCAGCAAAGTAGCATAATCGAACAACCTGGCGATAGAAAAAGCTCACGCTTTTTAAAAGACATACTAATTGTGCGACTTAATCTATTTTTAGGGCGCCTTAGCCCCACTGTGAAAACTGCGATCTGTGCTGAAGCTCCCGTAGTTTAAATTCACCAAAGGAGTGTTAGTATTGATGACAATGTTGGTAATTTTGTTCATTTGCCTTTTAGAGTAGCTATATCAAGAATCTTAATTAGCCAAATAAGACCCAGATATACACAATATACATGAATATTCACTTTTCTGTCCATCAGAAAATGAAAATAGAAAACAGAAATATTCTGCCTGAGTTTTGACCGGAGACACTGAAAGAGATGTAAGATGACGTACTCACATGCACGGTCTTGTTCTTATTTATGGTGGGTGTCAAGTATTTGATCATTTGTGCATTTCTTCGAGCGAACTACAACACAAACGGCGCCCGCCAACAACCATTTAATATGCCCGATAAGTTTGAAACTTTGAATAATATCAGACAAATCGCTATATTCGAAACGAATGCCGACAATATTTATGCCATGTCTGCACATACACAAAAAGACAGTGATCTCTGAATCACTTCGTAGAAAATATTAATCCTGAGGAAATCTCATTCAAAATACCCAACCCTGAAGAATTCCACAGGAGAATTTGTTTACCCTTGAAAAATTCCAGGGCTAGAAATCTCTACACCACTGCCGAATTCCATGCTCTTCAAAAGGGGGGTTACGGATGCGAAACGGAACGGATGGGGTTAAAATGCGGAAGAGGACGGATGGGGTTAAAATGCGGAACGGAACGGATGGGGTTAAAATGCGGACCGGAACGAATATGAGGTTAAAACTTAATTTAAAACCCATATCCGTTCCGTTCCGCATTTTAACCCCATATCTGTTCCGTTCCGCGTTTTAACCCATATCCGTTCCGTTCCGTTCCGTATTTTGATCTCATATCCGTTCCGCATCTGTTCCGTTCCGCTGCAAATGCAAATAAAAACTGACCACCTCGGTATCATTGTGCCACCAGGAACTAAACTGAAACCAATTCGAGTGAAGTGTACGATTAGAGATAGAAGAACCCATCGTATGTTAGCTCTAAAGAATGCCTTACAACAACAAAACTGGTCGAAAGTGCTTGATTCGGATGATGTAAATGAAGCAGCAAATAACAACACACCCAACAATAAATTCTCTACTCGATTCGTGCTTTCCAACAAGAACAGTTAAAATGTCTACGAGGGATCCAATTTGGTTGACACCATTGGTTAAAAGTCTTCTACAAAGAAACTATAAATTAGTAGCCAGAGGAAAGAACGACCAAGCAGAGGAAATAAGCAAGAGGATAGCAGAGATTATAGCACAGAACAGGAGGAACATGGACGCAGGTACGTTTGGATCAGGCAGTTGGTGGAACAAAATTGACAAATTATCGCTGAGAAAAGATACACTGAGGGTACTACTGGAGAGAAATTTTGTTGAGGATCTGAATGACTATTTCGCAGATATATGTCATGACCCTGAGTACGAGGAACCTTTGAAAATGGACACAATAGTACTGCATTTGAAACAACTCAGCTAGACTACGATCAAGTATATAACGCTCTAGGATCGATAAAACGAACGATAACAGGGTCTGACAAAATTCCTTACTGGATATATGGAAAGATTTTGCCAACATTCTATTCCCAGTTGTAATGAAAGTTTGGAATATGTCGTTGGCCACATCCATGTGGCCTAGATTATGGAAAATAGGTAATATAAATCCAATTCCAAAGGTTGACATTCCTAAGATAAAGAAAGATTTCAGAGGGATAGTTTCCATTTGGTCGTTAGTTGTCAGACCCTAGTTTTCATTTGGTCGTCAGTTGTTGCTAGCACGACAAGTGGCTGATGTAATAGAGTGTCAACAAAACTTTATAAACTGCTATAAAGAGTGTCAACAAACAAAACTCTGCAATCATTAAGACTGATTTGCATATAACACACAAAAAGACTATTATTATATTAGACTATTTCACATCTACCGCTTGTCGTGCCAGCGACAACTAACGGCTAAATGGAAACCAGGCTTAATAGCCAGAGCGTTTGAAAGGACAGTGTACGAACATTTTTTCAAAGATACATTTGAGCGTGGACTGAATAACAACCAGTTCGCTTATCGAAAAGGAGGCAGCTGTGTCGACGCACTGCTCAAAGTGCAACATTTTAATCTGAAAGCATTGGATAACAGTCCGAATAAAACAGTACGATTGTTTGCGATGGACTTCAGTAAAGCTTTTGATAGTGTCAGACATAACATACTAGGCGAAAAGCTTAAGGCCACTGGTTTGAATCCATACCTAGTAAATTGGTATTTGGACTTTTTAAAAGATAGAAAGCAAAGGATCGTGCATAATGGCATCATATGTGAATGGAAAATGGTTAATAAAGGAACAACACAAGGTAGCGTTAGCGGTCCGCATCTCTTCAATTTATTTGTAAACGACCTTACCATAGAAGAAGAAAACAAAACTGCATTAGATAAATATGCAGATGATGTCATGTTACAAGTAGTCGTACTAAAAAACTCCCAGGATGACTCATTAACTTACTTAAATCAGTTTATGAACTGGACAGAAGAAAATGACATGTCATGTAATACATCCAAGTGCAAGGAATTAGTTTTAAACAAATCGGGCAGAGCAGAGCAATATATATACCATCTAGCATTATGAACATGGAACAATGCCCGAAATTGAAACTACTGGGAGTAACATTCCAGTCCAATTGCAAATTTACAGAACATGTAAAGGATATGTTATATAGTGCAAATACAAGTTTATACGTGATACGATCGTTACGAAAGGAAGGGCTTTGTCAACGGGAGTTGAATTTGCTTTTCAACTCTCTTGTAATCTCAAAGATATCGTATGGTCTATCTGTCTATGGCTCGTCTACCCCAGATTTATATACAGTGCAGTGCTTCTCAGTAACTAGATGTTAAAGAGTTAAACGAATTATTCTAGCAAACATTACGATATATACAAACTATTAGAGAGAAGTGATCGTAACATTTGGAGAAAGATAAAAAATAACGATAAGCATCCGCTTAAACACATGCTACCTATAGTCAAAGACTCATCCAGGCGTCTGGGTAACAAAAGCTCACTGTGGCCAAAATGTAACACAGAACGCTTCAAGAATAGCTTTTTGGACCAAGAACTGGTCCTCAATCGCTGCTAATCTTGTTGTTGTTGTTGTTGTTGTTGTTGTTGTTGTTGCTGTTGTTGTTGCTGTTGCTGTTGCTGTTGTTGTTGTTGTTGTTGTTGTTGCTGTTGCTGTTGCTGTTGCTGTTGCTGTTGCTGTTGCTGTTGCTGTTGCTGTTGCTGTTGCTGTTGCTGTTGCTGTTGCTGTTGCTGTTGCTGTTGCTGTTGTTGTTGTTGTTGTTGTTGTTGTTGTTGTTGTTGTTGTTGTTGTTGTTGTTGTTGTTGTTGTTGTTGTTGTTGTTGTTGTTGTTGTTGTTGTTGTTGTTAGGGGGCGACGCTCTTTGAAAAAACCCTAAGGCTCCGTCGTTACTTGTCCGATCGGAATGAAACTTGACATAATTATTCTAAGCAATATTCCGCATCGATTGACGGTGTTCGATTTTTCATTTTTGACTTTAGAAGCGAAATATGAGCAATGTTTTACTGCATTCGTAGCAATTAATATATACATATCATTAATATTCAGCAAATACTGTACTGTACAGTACTCCTATCCATAAAAACAAAGACATGACATGTTTTTAGCACAAGCATGCAGTTATGAAGCCATTACCAAGCGAAATGATGTGCATTAACCTATAGCAACAATTCAGATAAATTGTTACCTTAACTTAAGTCCCGTTTCCACGGCATGTACACGACTGCAGCTGCAATATTTTGCAATGGTACGCACGGCACAATTTGTTACGACAAAAGTTAAATTTACTATAAGCGAACTCAGTCTATACGCTAGTCTGCCTTGAGAATAATTAGTTTTACAAGTGTCTAGTTATTTGTTTATCAAGTCAAAGCTGAGTCTCGAAGGTTTTGAACATTTAACGATTTGCACAAGATCGTCACGCAGTTCCTGGTCCACTATAGTACGATCGTACTTGTTTAATAGACTGATTTTTAAGTATAATTTGCATGTTGATAATGAATAGAATAGTTTTAATAATATTGATGTATTAAGAGTTTCTGTGTTACAATTTTTTAAATATGTAAATTTGATATGTATTTTTATCAAATGATTAATAAAGACCAATAATAATAATAATAATAATAATAATAATAATAATAATAATAATAATAATAATAATAATAACAATAATAATAATAATAATAATACTCTGAGCGTGCATCCACACCGGGCAAGCTGAAAAGTTTGCCTGACCACTCGGTGGGAATTGAATCCAGGACAATTTAATTTGAATTATGGAAATGAAGAAATCATTTTTTAAGGCTATCTGAAAAGTGTTTTGAGGTTAGAGAGTCAGATTTAGACATTGTTAATGATTTGTAATTAAAACACAAACTCTGGGACTGTGTAAGCGGTTTTTTATTGTGGGTCCTGCGTTGTAGGCGGTATTATGACATATACGGTTTTATCGCATGCATTTTGATTTTTGCCTATTCCGTGTCTCAACTCCTTCATTTTTCAGTGCTTGCATGCACACATCTTAACTGATCAACGCAGTCGAGCATAGGTCAATATACTATAGCCTATAGCAAACTTTCGATAGGCAAGTTTATTTTTCCCATTAATTCACCATGCAAACTGATATTGATATATCCTTCCAAAATTACTCGACAATTATAATCCGCATTACTTTTTTACCATCTATATATTATTTTGTTGCAATTTTCACCTTATACGACTTGTTGCGATTATTATATTAAATGTCCGAGATTGCTTCATTCCAAATTTTCCGGCAGCGTAGGCTTTGCGGTTTATATTTCAAGTACGCTCTCTCGAACCACATAATCATGTGAAACTCATTACGGAACCTTTGATGCCGTGAGTTCACACCACAGACAATCGAAGGAATCGTGTGACCATAGACCTTCGATTGTCTATGGTCATGCACATGCACGCGATTTGTCAGCTCGCGTCATCAGGAATACTTAACGGGAGGGGGAGGGGGACACTATCCGCTGTGACATCACCATAGTTTGAACATATATAAATTGTGATATTCCTCAAATATGACGATAATAATGGACATGCCCATGCATGACGATTTTCAGTTCAAAGTTTCAGTGGCAACACTTTCATTTGCAGCTTTCAGTGGCAAATAAATTGCTGTTAAATCTTGATGAAATTACACACTCCTGGGTATGCAGCCACCTTGTTTGGATCCACTATTTTTGCCTGCTCATAATTCATGCATATATGCTTAATAATATTGCTCAACGTAATATTCCATGCATTGACGGAACTCAACTTATTGGCAAAACAGTGTGTAAACCTACATAGTCGCAGGTGCCCCTGCATGCAGCGACTAATTTATACTGCCCTGCTAGGTGCATGGATCTCACCTCGACCTAAGACTATATACTAAATCGGCCCATCTTGTTGTATGGACTAACATTTTCCACTTGATCATGAGGCGACCTGTGGAATACATAATAGTTTGGACTTAATTGAAACTGGTCTAAAATTCTTTTTAAAATACTAAAATATGTACAATAAAGAGTCTAAAAAACCGTACCAATGAAGTATAAGTGCATACGGTAAGGATACACATACCAATAAATATATATCCTTTCATTCTCATAATCCCACCCAAAGTAAGCGAGCTGTAGTTAAGACCTTACTTGATTGAGCCGATAGCATTCCTTCTACAGATAACAAAAAACAGCAAGAAAGGGAGCGTGTTGTACAAGAGTTGAAGCTCAACGGATATACCCAGAGAAATTCATCTATACCTGACAAGTTCCAGTGGATCGTTTTCCAACAATAATGACAAACCGAAATTTAAATGGTTCTCTTGTATTCTATACATGAAAGGTATATCAGAACAGGTAAAACAACTGGCGTGCTTAAAAGTGCTGGACAGGTGTTGCGACAGTAGGCCCTATATAAACCCATGCCAAGCTTAGGAAATATTTTTGGTAAACCAAACGACAAGCAGAAGATCACGGAAGTTAAAAGTATTGTTTATAAATTCGAATGCCCAGATTGCTCATATAAATATGTTGGAGAAAGCAAGAGTTCGTGGAAGTCACGTTGGATGAGAACACAAACCAGGCGTAAGACCAGAAATCAAGTCAGCGATTAAAGACCACGCAGAAAGCACAGGACACAACGCTTCAATGGACAATGCTACAATCTTGGAGAAAATAATTATACATAATTTAGAAAAACGAACATTCCTCGAGTCTATGCATAATTCAATCTTAGATAATAAAGCAACTAACGAACACAAAGAATTCCCACGCATGTGTATTTATCCCTTGCCGGTGCAATCATGTGACAATAATGACGATATTTAAATCATCGAACTACTGTATATCCGAACTGCATGCTCGAAAATTTAGAACAGTTTTTAGACTAGCTTTTTATTTTACACTGAACTCACAAGTGTATTAAATTATTATTATTAATTAATAGCTGCACCAGCTTCGCCAAAGCCGAGGCAAAGAAGTAAAGGTGTCGTCAAAACAAAACAATTAATCAATTATATCTATTTTTACCATGCAAACTCTCAAGGTCTTATTGTATTACTAATCGTTTATTACAATGGTATCATGATAACGAAATACCAAAAACAAACTGCATGGATGCGCGTCGTGATAGCGAGTGTCTTTTTATCTCCAAATTACGGCAAATAGAAATATTTCGAAAGTTCGGTAGTTTTAAAATATATTTAGCTTCGGCGTAATTGTCTGAATGTCTACAAAGCCCTCTCGTCTTGTGATATTTGCCCATGGCAAATATATATATTGGTGTTGAGCACTCTAGTTCACTACGCACAAATTCAATATTGAATATTATATATATATATATATATATATATATATATATATATATATATATATATATATATATATATATATATATATATATATATATATATATATATATATATATATATATATATATATAATATGGCAAGCATTTGTTTTGACGAATCGTGCAATTTGATTGGCTGCTGACGCGAGGCAGGATTTTCCCGTATTGCCCACGGGCAATACGCAATTTTTATTGCCCAGCGACGAGAGCCGAGTTTCAAAAAGCAAAAAGTGTCTAAAAGTCTTTCAAAACTATTCAAAACGAAGAAAAATAAACCTAAACTAAAGAAAAGGAGCAACTGCTGTGGTTAAAGAACTTTCTCCATACGTTTTTGTTAGCGAAAGTCAAAATTACAAGGTAAATTTTACAATGTTTATAACTATAAAAGCAGTCAGGAATAGTTGTGTTTTGACAATGCGAAGAGCTGCAAATTTTATTTGCAGATAGCCAGGAGGAATTTGACATCATCCTAAATAAAAAATACAAATTTCTGTTTTTGTTAGATAAAAAGAGACATAAATATGAGATGAAGCGAACTAAAAACGTACTTGTTTTTGTAATTTTATTGAATTTTATTGTTTTCATATTTGTTGTCTTTGATTAAATGACGAAATACCTCGTATTTTTCTTGAAATACTATCCAAACTGTGTTAGTATTCTATATAAAAAGTACTGTAGAGCAGTTTTACTAACCAAGAGAACATTTTTTACAATTGCGGGTTTTTTTTTGCAAATGTTTCGGACTTTGTACTTTGCCCTCGCGTGACCTTTTCTTCCATTTTTTACAAACGTAGAATGCCATATATATAATAAAAAACTTACTGACCTCAACCGTTCGGGCATTACGGGAAAATATCCAACCTCGGTCTTGCTGTATTGACCTCGCTATCGCTCGGTCAATACAGCAAGACCTCGGTTGGTCAGCAAGACCTCGGTTGGATATTTTCCCGTACTGCCCTCACTCCCTCACTCTCGGTCAGTAAGTTATTAATATTATATTAAATATATATATTATATAATAATAATAATATATATATATTATAATATATATATATATATATATATATATATATATATATATATATATATATATATATATATATATATATATATATATATATATATATACATATACATATGCTTAATTACCACAAAAAGTTCCCAAGCAAAAAACTCGCCCAACACCGAGAAAATGGGTGATCAGTGATTATCCTCTATTAAATTGTATTACAGCAAGAAAATGTGAAATTTTGTATTCAATTACAACAAAACCTACATATAAGACACTTAAACAGTTTTTTTTATATCTAAAATTGTTTTCGAGTTATACGCTGTCAAAAACGCGTTTTTGAGCTAGTACCCAGTCCTTATTGCGACATTTTGGTCCAATTTTCACATTTAAAACAGCAATAACTCAAAGAATATTTGAAAAATCAAATAACTGTTTAAAAGT